AACATTCGACGGACCCTCCACCAGAAAAGTTAAACAATGCACCGTTAAACAAAATTTTCATTGTAATTTACTGTAAAATACTTTTGTATATATACTTTTAATACTTATTATAATATTACTAAACATTTTGTTAATTTGTCATACACAGCTGACTCACTGGGGTCAGTCCTATGATCCCTCATTTCTAAGATTTTTCATGTTTCTAAGATTTTTGTCAAAATGAAACAAAGTCAAGTCATTTTTATTTTTGTGCTCTATTTAAAGGGATGTTTCAGAGTCATTTCAGCCTAAGATCCTTTGCACTATGACCTCTGCTGAGTAATAGGTTGGGTGTAATTGACGGGAGAAATGGGGATAAAAATCTGATGCAAATTAATGATAAAGAAAATGTGGTGGGAACATAGGACCTAAATTGAGGAAAAACAAAACAAAAACAAAAACTTGAGAAATGAGGAAACATAAGGCTGTGGGAACTTAGGCACGCAAAACAGCAATTTTGGGGGGTTTTCACTTAGAAAACAGACTAAAATAAAATGCATGTTGTTGTTGTTTTGGTTCATTGCACTGAAAAACAAACACAATTATGGCTACGTTCAGACTGCAGCCTGAAGTGACCCATATCCGATTTTTTTCACCCTTATGCTCCTGTATCTGATCTTTTAATGACAGTCTGGACGACACAGATCCGATTTTTTTCAAATGCGACCCAGGACACTTGGATATGTGCTCCTAAAACCCAAACATATCTGATTTTTTGTCATGTGACTTTAGTCTGAACGGCCAGGTCACATTCATCCCACCTACACGTCACAACAACACGGTAACAAGCTCCTGTTGCGAGCCAAGACAGTCCAACACCAACACGTTTGCTCACTGAAATGGGAGCGTGCCTATGTTCCCTCATTTTTAAGTTGTTGTTTTTTTTGGTTTTTTTTGGTTTCTTTCTGAAATTAGGCCCTTTGTTCCCACATTTCCTTTATCATCAGTTTGCATCAGACTTTATCCCCGTCAATTACACCCAACATATTCTCCAGCAGCAGTTGACTACAGATGTAATGTAGAGGTCACAGCGCAAAGGATCCGAGGTTGAAATGACTCCAAGAACTTTAATCTGGCCCTCGGCTGATTTTCTACTAAAATATTTGAATTATATTTTCTATTAAAATATTGGTAATTTTCTGCGGTGCTGAGCATAGAGCAGCACAAATGAAGACTTGTCTCTTTCCAAACGCTCTTAAAGGACGATTGTTTTGACTGTTGACCGTGACACCCTCATCAGAAAAAAATGTTCCAAAAGTTTTTCAGGTTGTTCATAATGTTATAATATTTTGTAAAAGAAAGAGTTCATCAATTTAAAAAGATTTCTGTAATAGATTTGTGTTTCTCTGCACAAATATTTGAACTTATTGTTATTTTTGGGGTTTATATGACATGAGTTTTCTGATCCGGCCCCTTTGGGATCAAAGTAGGTTGGATACGGCCCCCGGACCAAAATGAGTTTGACACCCCTGCTTTAAATGCAGTATAAAAATAACAATGACTTGAATATGTTTCATTTAATTTTTTAAAATCTTAGAAATGAGGGAACATAGGGCTGACCCCACTGAAATAGGCCGCCAAAGACGTGATTCCTCCCGTGAGTGTGGTACAAGTAGGCTGTCACAAATGTACACAAACGTTCTTCTCGTCATATGAAAGTTGTGTCTGAACTCCGTGCCAGTGAAGCAGCAAAGCACATTGTAATCCCACCACTCTTGGCTGTAACTCTGCACCCACACGTTCCTTTCTACGGACGTTGCTGCCACTGCCCCACAAAACGCCACGGCCAAAAACCTTGTCCTTCTCCTTCTCAATCTCCTCCTTAAAACAAATGATCTGTACATGTTCTGGCTCCGGTACGACACCAAATTTAAAAATCTCCAGGTGCTCAATGCTCGCGTCCATGTTCAAACGACTTCTGTAAACATTTCCAGGACACTTTTGGGGCATTTAAAGTTCACACTGGAGATCACATACAAGTCGCGTTTAATTGGAAATGTGAACGACCTCGCAAAATAATCGGACTTCACAAAAAAATCTGAATTGAGCCTTCAGCCCTGCAGTTTGAACGTAACCTGTGCGTCCTTACTGTAAGCGGGCTTGCATCTCCACAAACCTCAATCTTCCACAGTATACAACGTATCTATCTCCGTGGAGAATGTTCCGAATTGTGGTTTTAACGGTTTAATCTTTTGTTTTCACACCATTAAAAGATGAAGAGCGAGCACATCCTCATAAGGTTTACAGGTCAGGTCTAAAAAATGAACCCTGACTTTGTTTATCTGCAGATTAGTCTTGATTTCAGTCGACCTCTTCCTGTGGGTGACGCTGTGTTCATCATTATAAAGCAGTGATCACATTAGAGCTGACGGTTCTACTCTGTCTGCGCGAAACGGATCCAACCACAGAACATGTATTCAATTAGGGAATAATAATAATAATACAGGGGTTTTAGATCACGCTTTTCACGGTAACACAAAGGCGCTTCGCAATAAAGTAACACTAAAACCGTTTCTGATGTGAAGGAGGAGGAGAGAGTTTCAAAAGGCAAGGTTAGGGCGAGGTTAGAGTTGTTCGATTGGAGGCGGCGGGAGGGACGGTGGCCCTGGACGAGATCTGTGAGGTATCGAGAGCTTTGTAGGTGATCAGGAGGAGGATCTTGAAGTTGATGCGCTGTCGGATGGGGAGCCAGTCGGAGTTGTTGTGGAACACGGGTGATATGGTCTCGCGAGTGGGTGTGGGTGAAGAGGCGGGCAGCAGAGTTTGAACACGTTGAAGTATTTGAAGGTCAGTGAAGGGAAGTCGTACTGCCCCTACAAAGGCAAAAGACCTTAACTCGCCAGTGTGAAACTGAGCAAAATGACTTAAAAGTTTCTGTTTTGTCCAGACAACAGTATAATAGATAGGGCTCCCAAAATTTGACAAGTAGTTGCTATAATGAAAAAAAAATAAATAAATGTTTGTGAAAAATATTGAGCTCATAATTGGCCCTGGAACCTTATTTGTCAGTTCCTGTGCTCTGTCTTTGTATCATGAGCCTAAAACGAAGGAGTCATGCAAAGTCAAAAGGCAGAAACTGACATGATCTTTATTTGCTTGATTTTCCCCAGTCTTCCATCCATTATAAGAACACCTCACCAAGGATCGAGTCATCTAGCCAGGCTGGCGCCACCTAGTGCCTCCGCTCAGTTTCATTTCTCTCCAGCAACTAGGTCAGGAATCAGAACACACTAGACGGTTTGCAAGAACCCTGGAAGTGCGAGTTCGGGCACCGGCCGATCAGCGAAGAGCCAGACATTCTGTGTTGACAACGATTCCCGAGATTGAGGATTTAAAGCTGGAACAAAGAGAATGTTTGGTGAATTTTATTAAGGGGAAAGACGTTATTGCCCTTCTTCCTATGGGATTTGAGAAAAGCTGAATATACCAGTTATCCCTGTTAGTGGTGCATTACATATGTGACTACCAAATAGCAGCGATTGGTTCCATGAAAAAAAGTACCGTCTACCGTCGAGCAAACACATTTTAACACTGCGAGGTTCAGCCTGAATCAGGCTACTAGTCATCTTTGTGTTTGACTGAAATGATCTAGAAGAGCTTTGGATTTCCTATTCAGTACTGATCAGGATCGTGCCACAAGTTTTACACAGTGAAACAGTTTGACACACAAGTGACTTTGCAGTATAGTGTGTACAGTATGAATAAATACACCAAATACTTTCACGTTAAAGATCATTTAAGTATAACTGAAAACAAAGGTGTATTTATTGAAAGTGTTAAGACCCTGTGCCAAGGCTGCAACAAAAAGAAGGAGACAAGATGTTGGATTTGAAATAAAATATATTTATGAACTAAATCACAAAGAAAACATACACTGTTTCTGCCTTTTATCTTTGCACGACTCCTTATTTTTGACTCATGATACAAAGGCAGAGAACAGGAACTGACAAAAAGGTCAATTTGAGCTCAGTATTTTTCACATATTTATTCACATGATAAAGGAGGTCTCTAATACAAACAGAATGACATGAACTCATTTTTGACCAAACACGATGTTACGGCGTTTTCCTTCGTAGGGCAGAGTAGAGGAGTCTGGAGGTGATGAAGACGTGGTGGACGAGAGTTTCCGCGGCCGAGGGGGAGAGGGAGGGGCGAAGGCGGACGATGTTTTGAAGGTAGTCTTAGTGATGTGGTGGATGTTTGGTCTGAAGAAGAGGGTATGGTTGAAGATGAATGCAAGGGAAGACTTAAGGGTATTCTGTATTCTGCTTTGTGCGTGACCATAACGTTAGTTTTGTTCAGTAGTTCACTAATGCGTCGTCGTTGTTCGCCTTTAAGCTTTCGTCTTTCTTACCTTGATAGTTGTGGATAAATTCTTCATGGACACAGTATGTTCTTTGTGGACCTTGTTGGATAAAGATTTGGTGATGGGGCAGATTTATGAAGCTGGTGGAAAATACGCGAGATGTTTCCACCGATATTTTGCCATAGAAAAGCATTAATGGAAGTGAGGTTTACCTACATCGTGACACTTTCGGCTGTTGTGAAAAAGGTCTATAAGAGGTGATGCAACACGTGACACTGCAACATAGAAATCTCGAAAATGATCTTAATAACTCAATAACTTGCTTACATAAAACAAGCACAGTTGTTTTGATTATTGAACATTTCCTGGGGGAAAATTGGTAATCAGGTGTAGAATGTGGGACTTTTCCCTGGACCTTCTAGTTTTGAGGCAGGAGGACCAACAACTGTGCCACATCGCTGCCCAAAAATGGTAGATAAACCTTCTGGAAAAAACACGAAGTTGACTTTTGTTTTTGCTTTATCGTTTCATAAAACCAAAGTCTGGGCGTTTACTGTAGAAGACTCATATTATTTTATGTGATGTTATTTTTTAATCAAATCCTTAATAACAATCTAACCACACACCTCCTGTTGTGTCTTGTCTTGTTTTCCAGGTGTCTTCTGCCTGCGTCCCGGCCACAAACTATGAGCTGGTGAGTGCCTCTGGGTGTCACGTTTCAAAACAGAAACTTATGACACTTTTTATTATATTTTATAATTTGTCTTCTTGGTTGGACACGTGCGGGGCAAATGTGACATATGTAGATGTAATTTCATAACTTACTTAGCAACCATCAAGGGTCATTATTAGATTAATGAAAACGAATGACAGCACCTATATTTTGTTGAATCAAAGTTTAAACTGTCTTCTTTGTGTGTAAATTGTATTTTGGTTGGACTTTTCCCAAGAGAGGAAGCTAGAAAGGGCTGCTCGATTATGGAAAAAAACATTATCACAATTATTTTTGTCAATATTGAAATCACGAGTATTCAAACTATTTATTTTATTTATTTATTTTTTGTTACACAATGCATTTATTCAGCATTTCTCTCTCTAAAAAAATAAAATAAAATTGTTATTGATAATTTAAAAATAAAAAAAATATAAAATTGAAAAATTTTAAATAAATATAAGCTACAACTACGTACCTCAGAGCAGTTTTGCGATGTATAAAACAAAATGAATAAAATATACTTTGAACATGAAATAAGCAGAGGTGGTGCTACCATTTAGGCAAAAGTAGGTGGCTGCTCGGGGCCCCCAAACAACTGCCCTCAGTGCCACTAATGGCCAAGGCCTCAGAGCAATTAGATTTTCTCTCAATATGACATTAAATGAGAGTAGTTTTACTTTTAAACAATAATCATAAGAAAATGTAAACAAAAACATAATTGGACCAGCAAAAAAATAAAACTAATTTCAGCTCTGGTTTTCTAGTAGGCGACCGAACTAATAAGACAAGTTTCCAATCCAACATAATTCAAATAAATAGAGATCTGTTTCTCAAGAATAAAGGGGAAATAAATAAATAATAATAAATATAAAAATAACAATGTTGAAGTGCTGCACTGGATCAAAAACGTACACATACAGGTGCTCATCAAACCGGAGGGCTTAGACTCTTGTGGAGTGGAAAAAAAAGGGATGGCAGAGGCATTCTGATTAGTGGTAAATTTATTAATAGTCACAATAAATATATATAAAAAAATATATATAAAAAAAATGGTACATTGTAGTGAGGGCCCCAAACTCAATTTCACCCAGTGCTCCCAAATTTCTAACTCCACCACTGGAAATAAGGCATATAAAAACATTTTATCCAAACTAAACTATATATCCAGCTGTTCTACAATCTCTATGTTTAAAAAATTTAATAAATATACCTATTTATATAAAAATATTCCAAAATAAACTTGGTTAAGCTTTGTCGTTTCAACTTGATTCTATGAGTTTGGAGATCAATGGACGCACAAATCAAAATTACGATCAAAATTCAATAATTGCACAGCCTTAGCTACAAGTATCGAAGTTATTTCCTGACCAGCCAGTTCTGGATTTAAACGGAATGTAGAAAGGTCTGGAATCGGACCATAGGGCGTTAAAATCATCTCCAGACTCGAGATGATTCAACCGCAGCTGCTAAATCGTATCAAGTGTCTGTCAAATGCAGAGAGACACATGATACAAAGTTTGTTCTGTGTCATTCAGAACAAGAACAAACTATATCCTGAAATAAGTTATAATTTGGTATTTCTCAGTCCTTTATGTTTTTCAATTTTTTACATATAAGCAACCATGTTTGTTTTTGATGCGAACAGACAAATGCATCTCTCTGATTGGTTGATCTACCTGTCAATCACACCCTCTGATAGAAGGGATAAGGCTCCAGGTCCACCTTTCTTGTTTTCTTGAAAGTGCTCCACTGTGTTTTTAAACTCCACACACCTTCACTAGAATCATTTGGATAATTTCAGCCCTGGAATTTCCGATCTCTACTGAACTAAAGGTAAAAGCGCTGAGCTGTTAACTTGAAAACTACCACTGCATGACATCACAGGGTGGAACAGAGCGTTTTGAGACTTAGGCTACGTTCAGACTGCAAGCCTGAAGTGACCCAAATCCGATTTTTTGGCTTCTATGTGACCTGTATCTGATCTTTTAATGACAGTCTGAACGATGCAGATCCAATTTTTTCAAATATGACCCAGGACACTTGGATATGTGCTCCTAAAACCGATACATATCTGATCTTTTGACATGTGACTTCAGTCTGAACGGTCAAAGTGCATTCACCCGACCTACACGTTATCAGCAAGCCACAAACGTCACTATTCTGCGCTGAAGTAGGTGAAAATTGTTAATGAACTCACTGAAGCGAAGCACATCACCACTCACCACTCTTGGCTACATCTCCATATCCAGACGTTCTTTTCTACGGACGTCGCTGCCACTGCTCCACAAAACGCCACGGCCAAAAAACCTCATCCTTCTCCTTCTCGATCTCCTCCTTAAAACAAGTAAGTTGTTCATGTTCTGGCTCCAGTACAAGAGAAACTTTAAAATCTCCGTAAACACAGAGCACGCTCGCTGTGGTTGACGTCGTCGTGTCTCCAGTGCACATACAGGACACTTTTGGGTTGTTTAATGTTCACACTGGAGTCACATACAAGTCACATTTAATTAGAAATGTGAACAACCTCGCAAAAACATCGGATTTCACAAAAAAATCGGAATTGAGCGTTAAGCCCTGCAGTCTGAACGTAGCCTAACACAATAATGAAAGTTCCTCAAACATGAAAGAGTGAATGAAACAAAACACAAGTCCAGGTCTGTCGGTCAGGTTTTTGAGGAGGTACCAACGTTATAACCCGGCTTAAAGGTGCATTGTGGAACTTTTCTGGTGGAGGGATATGATATTGCTTTGTCTGGAATGTTTCACAGTTTGGCATTAATCTTTTTTATCTCCATGGAGACCAAACCAGACCAAGTTACAGGTCAGAATGTTTGTTCGCCTATGATTGAATAAATGTAAGTTAGAGCTGTTTAATGTCACACTGTGGAACATTCAGAGCGATGGCGTATCCATGGAAACAAGCAGGTGATGGACCAGCAACCAAAAAGTTACGTAGAGCACGTTTAAAGTCAGAACTAGACAAAGCATTGTAATTAAAATCTTCTCTGACAGGTTTCAAAAGACTTGATTTCTCCTTTTTCGAGCAACACCGCTACTTTTTTTTTTTTTTTTTAACTTAATTTCGGTACATTTTTGCTGCATTTTGTGCTTAATGACTTCCATGCGTCTCCGCCTCGTGTGTACAGTTCCTCGGTTAAAAACAGCGCGCCATTAGCAACAACGTGTTAACTATTTGACATAATGAGGCTATTATGGCTAAGCTTTTCCTGACTGCAGCTTTTTGGGCTTAGGAGCTAAATCGGTCTCCTCTGCACCAGATCTGAACAAACAGTCATTAAAATACCAATTTCGTTACTCATCCAGGGAAGGAGATGCGAAAACCGTGACCGTGAACGTCGTATCAGAACAGGAAAACAAAAAAAAAAGGAGCTCACAGTGTTCTTGAGTTTGGTGATGTCAGTCTCAGATGGAGGGCGGGGTCGCGATTGTGTAACTCTACGGGAGATTCAATGTTTTGGAAATTAAACATGTTCTAACTTTTCCTCTGAGTTCTTCTTGTGATGTCAAGAAGTGCTCCACTGTGTTTTGAAACTTCATGCACCTTCGCTAGATTCATTTGGATATTTTCAGCTTATCACTTCAGAACTAAAGGTAAAAATAGGAGCTGTTCTCTTGAAAACTACCCCTTCGTGACATCACAAGGTGGAACAGAGCGTTTTGAGCTTTGGAGATGTAGAGAGACTAATAATAAAGGATTCCTCAAACATGTGAATGAAACAAAACACAACTCCAGGTCTGTTTTTGGTTTAAAGCTCATATGATGTTCTTCATTTGCATAGTTATAGAAATAAATAGAAACCATTAAATTAAGTTGTTAAATATCAAATAAAATAGCTTAAATATAATCTAATTAATCTAAAAGAAGATAAGGCAAGAGAAGTGTATTTGTATAGCACAATTGTATAGCACAATTGGTACACAAAGTATTCAAAGTGCTTTACAGTGGGGGTGCTCAATACGTCGATCCCGATCTACCAGTCGATCACCAAGGTCGTGTGGGTAGATCGCCGTGTCTCGTCTCGGACTCGATCGCGTTTGGATTCGGTCTTGTCTCTCACTCACGGTCTGACACTCAACAAGTGCGATCATATTTCATTACAGCCATATTTGCAAGCTGCTACAAGTTTATTGCTGTTGGTAATAAACTTGTAGCGGGGTGCAGGAGCGTGTGGGGCGTCTCAGTGCAGCCTGTGCGCTCATTTGAAACCCGCGGAGACTCTACGGCGCATCACAAACACACACGCTCCCTATGCACGGCTCGTCTGCGACAGCGTGTGCCCTCGTGTACCAGCGTGCATCACAGGGCAGGTTCAACTTCCTAAACATCCTACCTGTCCATCTGCCTCACGTCAGCACGCCGCCCCTCGCCTTTTCACGCTCTCGCTCCTTCCTGCGTACAGCGAACACAAGCCCCTCCCACAGTGCGGCTGATTAGAAGAGCAAGACCAAACGTGAAGCAAAAACCAGTCTAAATTTGTGTTCCAGTGTCGGCACAAAGCAGGTCTACAGCATAGAGCAGATCTACAGAACAGACCTACTGCCACATTTGGCTGAAGTTTGTCTAACAAAAGTGCACAAATGCATCTGTGTTTGTCACGATGTGCGTTTGGTTTGGTAAACGTGCAGAGGCTGGTAAATATCACTGCAAAACCAGAAAAGAATGAAACTCCAGTTTGGAACTTTAAAAAACAGGTTTAAAAATCTTCCTTCACTTTTTTCACAGTTTTGTGTAAAGTGCCAGAGGAAGTTCTCTTAAAGAAGGGGTTCTCAAACTGTGGGTGAGGGTCCAAAAAAAGGGGCAGAGTGTTTCAGTGCAGTTTGTTTGGCTTTGTATTAGGTCGATCATTTTGACTTGGTCATTTTGTAAGTAGCTCACATGCTAGTGTGAACACCTCTGCTTTACAGAATAAGAAATACATTAAAATCATATTAGAGTGTTGCTCCTCTAACAAGTGGCT